TATTTCAAAATTAGTCATAAAGAATTAATTGGGTAAGTTCCAAAGGATTGGTTTGCTACTAAAATAAAAAAAATAATCATATTCAATTACCTTCAATTCTATAAATAGGTATGATTATAAGGTTGTGGAGTGTGTTTAGATTCATCTTAAGTAAAGGTGTACCTATGGAAGTAGCTATATCAGTATCAGCAAAATTAACAAAACATTAAAATTAAAGTAAGAAATACTCAGACAGGAAAACAAACTATATTAGCGGATATCAAATAGGGCAATTTATTATCGATGATTGTATTAGATATCTCAAAGCATGATAACACTTATCATTTATTGTAAAGATAAAATATCAATGAGTCGTTAATTATAACCCAAAACTACTAATTCATTATGAGCCTATAATCCTTAGTAAGCAATGTAGAAAATTCACTGCTGATACAATCTTAATTGTTGTGTGCTTTAGACTTTAAGGGTGTGTTGTGAATCCATTTATTATAAGTCTGCAAAGTAATACAATATAATAAAGATTGTCTAAAAGAATTTGTGACTATGTAAAATTTACACTGACCCTATAACATAAACAAAATAACATTTCGGATTACTAGCTCAATAGCAGTTCAAGATCATGAATGAAAGAAAATTACCAATAATACGAAATGTGCTGGAGTCCAAAGGTGTTATAAAAATAAGCACACAGGTCACAGAAGAATGCAAGAATGAATTATGAAATGAATGCTTGGTTGATTTAAACAAAAACACAAACAAGCCTATTAATTATTACCTTATTACCTTATTACCGGTTCTTCATCTTTTACCCCATGGGGGATTGATGGCGTCATTAAATAACATGAAAACACTGTACTAGAATATATACATTATTTACAAATTTAAAAACATATTTTTAACACTGAGGCTGTGGACAGGCGTAAGTCAGCCCAGGCCTACTAGGGGGTCATCGAAATACTCCTTCAGCGAGTAGTAGGCTTTTCCTTTAAGGTATGCAGTGAGTACCTTGAGGAGTTCCCTTTTGTCGAGAAGTACGATGGAGTTTGGCAACTTATTATATATTGTTAGGGCTCCATTACTAAAGGCCTTCTGAGTCCTTGATAGTCTAACTCTAGGAACATCTAGTTGGTTGCGATGCCTAGTAAGGTGGTGATGTTTTGCAGCTCTGGAAGGAAACTCCTCAATATTATCTATTACGTACTTTATACAGGCGAGGATATAGTGACCAAACACTGTTAGAATTCCCAGCCTGGCAAAGATAGGCTTGCAGTGAGCCAGACGATCGCTGAAGGTGATTATTCGTAGAGCTCTCTTTTGCTGGACCAGGATGTCTTCGGTCGCGGGTGCGTGTCCCCACAACAGCACACCATAGCTCACGTGGCAATGAAACATAGAATGATAGACATTCATCAGGTATTTCTCCGTTACCAGATACCTAAGTTTCAGGAGCAGGCAGCATACCCTTGACAGCTTATTGCAGACCTGATTTACGTGGTCATTCCAGGTTAGCTTCTGGTCCAGGGTAAAACCTAGCAGCTTCACCGGATCATTGTGAGGAGCATGTTTAGCCAGACTGCAGACAAGAGATTGTGTCTTGGATTGGTTAAGCTGGAAGCCATTGGCCTCAAACCAGTTTGAAGCTTCAATTAAGTGCTGTTCAGCTCCCGCTACAGACTGTTCAACATGCAGTCCTCGTGACACAAGGGTGGTGTCGTCAGCAAATAACACAACATTTCCTGACTTGTCGAGGTCGTTTATCATAACCAGGAAAAGAATTGGCCCAATCACCGATCCCTGTGGAACTCCATATGCTACTTCTAGAGGTGCTGAAGTTGCCCCCTCGATAGAGACCACCTGTTGCCTACCCGCGAGATATGATTCAATTGTTCCGAGAACAGTGCCACCCACTCCATAACTCTCCAACTTCCTGACCAGTATGGCATGGTCGACGCAATCAAATGCACGACTTAGGTCGCACAATGTGAGGGTGACTGTGTGGCAAGCCTCAAATGCCTCACCAACCAAACCTGCAAGCCTCATGACCGCTCCTGTTGTAGACCGGCCTTTACGGAATCCGAATTGACCTTCCGTCAGTAGGTTGTTAGACTCTAGGTGTTCACAAAGCTGCCTGGTCATTAGAGCCTCTAAGACTTTACCGAAGATTGGTAGAATAGAAACGGGCCTATAGCTGTTCAATCTATCTCGCTCACCCTTCTTGTAGATGGGGACGGTTCTGGCAATTTTCATGCTGGGGGGGAAAACCCCTCTCTTCAAAATGTTGTTCAGGACTAGCGATAGCGGTTGAGAGATTTGTCCTATGACACGTTTTAACCAAGTTGTGGACATTCCGTAGAAGTCAGGGCTGTTTGAGTTTTTGAAACCAGCCACAATTTTCTCTATCTCGGTTGAAGTAGTAGGCTGCCACGAAAAAAGGTTGGTGTGTACATCCACATTCAAAGAAATCTTACTGGAGTCTAAAGATTTCAGACCGGTTACAATGTTGTCTACGGAGTCGATGAAAAATCTATTAAATTGGTCAGGGCTGTGTGGTGACGATTGGGTCACCCGACTGCTTCTTGTGGCTGTTTTGACCACATCCCAAGCTGCTTTGCACTGATTTTTAGCAGAAACAATCATATTTACATTTGCCTCTTTCTTGGCCTCAACAATCTTTTGTTTGTATGCATTTTTAGAGGCTAAATAGGCCGCTTTGTCCACCTCTTGGTTGTTCTCCCTAAACCTGTCCTTCAGTGCGAGCATGACCTGCTTTAGCCTAAACAACTCAGGAGTATACCATTTTAGGTAGGATTTTGATTTTGCCACACGAGTTTTGTTGTTGGGCCTATACACCTTGGACTTAGATGGGAAGAAAACATCAAATAACTTCCTTATTTCAGAAAAAAACACATCAAAGTCATTGGCATCGTCTTTCAGGATGTTATACCATTTAATCTCACCTAGAGCTACTAAAAATAGGTCTATCATGCTTAGGTCAAGTTTTCTAATGTTAAAAAGATAACTACTATGCCAAGAATTCAAAGGAGGACTCACCACATTTGAAGAAGTCATCCATCTCATCACCACTGCGGAGTGATCTGCGACAAAGTGTTCGACGACACTGGCATCATAATCCCAGGTGTTCAGGTTTACAGCTATGTTGTCGATGCAGGAGTGGCCCCTCGTTGGTTGTGTTGTCGTGATGAAAAGTCCGAAGGACTTCAGAAGATTGAGCAGGGCAGATCTCTCGGTGCCTTCTCCAGTAAAATTTACGTTGAAATCCCCCATCAAGACCAAGTTGGAGAAATTTCTCTCAAGGGAAGCCAGACAGCTCTCCAATCGATTACAAAACACTTTGAAATTCCCACTAGGTGAGTGGTAAACACAGATTGCCGTCACGTTCAGGCTTGGTATGTAAATCGCTACCAGTTCACAATCGAGGTCTGAGCAAAATTGCTCCACATTTAAGACACTAAAATCAAGGCTTGGGTCAATGAACAATGATGCTCCGCCACACTTGGAATTTTTCCTGCAGTAAATACTTGCAAGGGATAAATTTGCCACTGTACTGTAGAATTCAGTCTCTTCTGGTACTAACCAATGTTCGCAAACGCCAAGAATGTTTATACCTTCTTCTTCAATGAACACAGTTAATAGGCTCTCCTTACCTCGAATACTTTGTACATTTAAGACACTAATTACAACAGGAGAGCAATTTTCTGGGTCCTCAAGTCTTCTTATGACACGATCTGCTGGTGGTCCGGCAATCCCGAGTGCTGCTGGACTGTCCTGCCTAAAAAAGATCTTGGTGAAGGACGTCGAGATGGAAGGAACTCTCTAACAAGGATGCCGTTTGGCCAAAAATCAGAGCGTAGCACCCTTTCAACACACAGTTCTGCTATTCCTAACTTGAACGACTTGTAGGATTTAAAACGTGTATTCAGTTCGACACATTCGCAGTTATGTATATCATTGTCTGCAAGAAAACTGGTTAAGGTATCGCAAGTTGTTGCAGGCGATAGTCTCGATACAAAAATAAATTTCCGTTTACAAGCTGGTTTCAATCTGGTTTCGGTCGAGCCAGTGCCGATTACCACTTTAGATGAATTCGAATGGTTCCTGTTGTTTGAGACTGTATTAGGATTTTTCGACTTTGGTACTCCTTTCGATCCTCGGACAGTACTCGCGTAGGATTTAGACGATGTCGAGACTGGACTGACTGGAGCGAGATTACAATCGGTTTCAGTTCCTTCAGTCTTTCCCGTCAGCTCCTGTTGTCGCTCGAATCGCACTCTTCCCACTGGAGTCAATTCACTACCGTTTCTCAGTCCGATTTGCTGTTCATTTGATTCAACCACCGTTCCGTCTTCATTCACAGCAGTATGAATTTCGTCTTCGTCATTTGTCACCAATGGGAAAGAGGGGATCTCAGTGACGTCATTGTTGCCACAACAACAACTAACAATTGTTTATAGAACCAGTTTTAAATCTTTTATCCCTGAATTTTCCCATCTACATAGGCTTCTAAGGTCTGCACGTGGAATAAATCAAGCAGAGTAACGGGTGAGCCAGTACTGTACGAGAATCAACTGAAGGAAATTATTGTGAATAAATTATAGGCTACCCAATAGCACATATTAATGACTTCAAGACCGTAACACATTATATGTTCATAATTTAAGCATAATGTAAATGCAGGGTGTAGAAAACAGTGAGAGTGTGTGTGTAGCTTTGTTGCTGGCTAGGCCCATAGGACATAGGGCTCGCCTAGGAATGAAAAGGTTGCCAATTCTGAAAGTAACAGTACCAAAAACTTCTTGGTGGTTTGAAATTGATCCTTGACCATTTGCAATCAATAAATTAACCTTAGTCAGCAACAAAGATCAATCGTACAACGATCATATTCTCCTGGAAAAAGCACACTCTGGTATGTCGGCATTGTTTAAATCTATTCTAATCTTACCAGCTGTTTTGTTGGTCAGGAGGATGGACGCTTGTCTTACCTAGGAAGTGAGCCTGATGTGCCTCCTTTGCTATGGGTTGCGATGTGCTTTGCGCTCTCTCTGCGTTCCTTGTGTGTCTTGGTGGGAAATGGAATGTTGAGCGAAGCTCTGAAATACATAGAATATAAAATAACTAATGGATAAAAAGTTAATTTGAACGATCAAGGATTAAGAGCATTATTGTGTCATTCAATTACATTTCACAAGATCGGCATAGGTAGAAAAACAGATGACATTGACAATTTTGAGAACAATTATCATAAAAAAGATAATATAAAATTTAATATATATAATTAAAAAATTATTGACAACAATAATTATGATAAAACAATATAGCCTACTGGTAAAATAATTCAAAGAAATAAAAAACTTAAATTCTTTTTAAAATTTTCAAAAGGATCACGAAACAGCAAACAATTAAACATAAAAACAGTTTATAAAAATATATAACTAAGGGTGTTAAATTATCAAAAGCGCAATAATAAAATATTATACTTCAGATAAAAGGTCAAAATATTAAATAGTGATGTAGAAATTCACGTGTGCTCCCGCTATCTCCGCGTTCCGCCACCTCCGAACCCAAATCTGTCCCGCCACCTCCGAATTCTTGAGTGACCCTTATAATCCTGTCATCGCCTGTGTTGGTAGCTGTCATTGCATCCACGGCTGCATAGCCCCGTGGATGGAAGATTTAATGAAAATTTAACCCGTGGGTTAGGTTAGGTTAGGTTAGGACGGAAAGTCTTAACGCATGTAGTAACCGAGGATTATAGGGGTCACTCTGAAATTCGGAGGTGGCGGGTCACGGAGGTAGCGGGACGCGGAGATAGCGGGAGGTAACCAGAAATTCAATGAAAGCAACAGGGTGATGAATAAGAATAAAATCTATAATTTCTAAAGTAAGTCTACATGGTCTGAAAGTCTTTAAGTAGGTTTGGTGTAATTTTAAAGGGTGGCAAGGGATTGCTGTTACCACCCTCAGAATTAACTTTCATCACTTTTTGCCACCCCAAACATTTTTAGTGACTATGTTAGTTCTTTGATATTGATGAGGCTAAAACTAAAACTTTTATCATATCATAATAAGCATAATAATTAACAGAACAATATGAGTTATTTCTAAGGCATCTATGCTGGTATGTTAACAAGTTATTTATTAATAAACTTAAGCTTGAATTTGTAACGCCAAATTTAAAACAATATCCAGGCCATACAGCAGACATTGCCACCACAGGTAAAAAACTTAACTGTGCCCTTGATTGCTATCATTGGCCTAATAAACATTGGGATTGAATTTAATGAAATATACAATATAAATAGTTTTGTGAAAAGTGAAAAAATTGAAATTTAATTTTTATATTTTGGAATATATATATATAGTGAGTACAAACAACAAGCTAGGGCAGGGGTGCCCATCCCCCCCTAGACTCATGACGCACCCCCCCCCCCCAATTGAGCAACAGCCCCCCCCCCACCATAAATTATGTACACAACAAATGAGAAACATTATTCCTCCGCCCAGCACTATTTTTAAAACTATAAAAGAAGTTTTATAATTTTTTAGATATTTAAAATTCAAACCCAGTTAATCTATATGAAGATATGAGTAAAGTTATAGGTTTGTCTGTACATTGCTCAGAATTATACATATTTTGGGTTATTTATGTTTTATACATTGAAGACGTTGAAACATGTCTTATCTCAATTTATGTCCGTCTGTCACGACCCAGAAGGCATTTTATGCAGCCTACTCTAAAGAAAACTAGAGTACCGATTATGATTCTAATGGTTTAATTGTATCCACATGATTGGCGATGAGAGAGTCCTTATAGCCATTAAAATATGGGCTCACTATTTTGGAAATAAAATAACGGACGATCAAAAACACAATTTTGTGTGATTTTTCTAGTTTATTTTCTCCATGTTTACTACATACGTCATTAATTTATGAAATACTAATTGGGGGGTAAACTTCGATATGGTGGACTGTATAAAAAATGAGGGATGTGAGATATATTATGTTAAGATCAGCTTTAGAGACACACTGTGAGCACAAAATAATAAACTTTTAAATAGGAAGAAATGTGATTTGGTACCTTCCTTTTTACTGAAGTGATGTCTAGTAGACCGTTGACGCACTTGATGTTTGCTGGCCAGCTTTCGCGTACGCGACCGGTAGTTGCACCAAGAACAGTTTGAATACAGTTTTTAACTATTCAGTTCACTTTTTTGTTAGGTGTGTCACAAATAAATACATAAGATAAACATACGATAATATAAGTTCAATTTATATGCCACAAATAGAGTAGGGGAATATTATAATACAAAACTAGGGAAAATGGCGAGAACATGATGCCGGGTTGAAGAGTACATGAGGAATGGGGGAAATTGCCAGACATCACGTGACAGGGCAAGGGTCAGAACAAAATATGAATGAAGTCTGGATTCACCTAGGTTGCGTAGATGCTTGAATACGGAACATGCCGCCCGCCTTGAACCATACATGGTTCAACAGATTCATAAATTGATTCATTGACTCATAAATGGGCACAAGTAATACAATGTAGATATATATACACAATAGATAATGATGACACACCTAATTATAAGATATGATATATATGACAATTATAAATATAAACATGAAATAGGACATTAAATAGAAATATTTTGTGATTAGGGGAGCGGGTACACCTTGGTAGCAGGGCGACAGAAGATTCCTCTCGAAGTCTTGATGGAGACAACTCGAACGATGCCATCTGCTCCAGGTGATGTCTTCACAATGCGACCAAGAGGCCAGAGAAGTGGTGGTGTTTTTGGGTCATGGATAATGACTAAATCGCCTACTTCAAGATTCTTGTTTGGCTTTATCCACTTTTTCCTTTGTTGAAGCTGGTGCAAATACTCTTGGTGCCACCTTCTCCAGAAGCGTTGATGTAGAGCCTGAACTGTTTGCCAATGCTTTAGTCGATTGTCAGGAATATCGGATACATTTACTTCAGGTACTGCAACAAGAGATGTCCCGATGAGAAAATGACCTGGGGTGAGTGCTGTGATGTCAGATGGATCTGCTGATAGAGCTGTTAGTGGACGAGAGTTCAATACTGCTTCCACCTGCGTGACAAGAGTTATCAGCTCCATTAGTGTTAGAATTTGATCTCCAATTACTCTCTTGAGATGGTACTTTGAGCTCTTTATGGCACTCTCCCAAAGGCCTCCTTGGTGAGGCGCGGCTGGTGGTTGGAAATGAAAATTAATTGAATGATCGAGGGCAAAGTTCGTGAGAGCATCTTGAGTATTCCTTTCATCAATGAAATTCTGGAAGGTCTTATTCAGTTGCTTGGAGGCACCGACATAGTTCGTTCCACAATCAGAGTATAGGTGAGCACAAAGTCCACGACGAGAAACAAATCTTTTAAGAGCAGCAATGAATGAGTCCACTGAGAGATCAGTTACAACTTCCAAGTGCACCGCTTTTGTGGTAAAGCAAACAAATAGGCAGAGGTATGACTTAAGCTTTTGAGAATTCCTAGTGGTGTGTACTTTCACTTCAAAGTGACCGCTATAATCCATGCCAGTATGATAGAATGGTCTTACAGGCCGTAGTCGAGTTTCGGGTAAGTCTCCCATAAGTGGAGGTTGATTTGTAGGTTTCAACTTAAAACATCTTTGACATTTAAAGATTACAGATCTGATTACACTACGAGCAGATAATATCCATACTTCTTGAGTGAGGATCGATTGCAGCAACTGAGGGCCTGCGTGTAAATATTTGAGATGATAGTGCATGACCAACAGTTTTACAACATTATGAGATTTAGGTAACAGGATTGGGTATTTGGCATCTTGAGTAAGGTTTGAATGTTTCAACCTACCGCCTACTCTTACCAAACCGTTATCGTCAATGTAAGGTGATAACCGAGCCAGTCTTAAGCTGCACTGAGTGCCCTTTTTCAGAGCTGTGATGTCATCCTTGAAAGATGAAATTTGAATGAGTTTGAAGAGATTCATTTTAGCAGAAGAGATCTCTTTATAACTAAGTTGTCCAGCTAGTCGGGCGTTCCCACAAATATTATGGATGAATCGTAGAACATAAGCAGTGACATTTACAAGTTTTCTAAAGCATGAGAATTTTTCAAGTAAATCAAATCTGTAATTTTCTAACTTTTCAACGTTAACTAGGACATTCAAGGGATTTGGTTTGACTTCAAGAGTGTCTTGATCAGTGATTAAACTGAATTCGGGCTTTGGCCAAAGATCTGATGACAAGTATAACCATTCAGGTCCCTTCCACCACAATTGGTGGCTTAAGAGTTGAGATGGGGAGAGTCCTCGGGTTGCACAATCTGCTGGGTTGTCTAGGGACTTGACGTAATGCCATGATTCAGGAGAGATTAATTCTTGTAGTTCTGAGACACGGTTGGCCACATAAACTTTTAAGCGATAGGGGTGAGTGCGTATCCATGTAAGAACAATGGTAGAGTCACACCATGCATACATCGAATCAATCTTAATGTGGGACGAAAGAAGATTTGAACAGTATTGCAGGAGCTTTCCAAGTAGGTGAGCACCGCACAGTTCGAGACGAGGCAGAGATACTCTTTTTAGTGGGGCGACTTTAGATTTGGCCATTATCAGATTAATTTTAACATCATTCGATAAGTTGATCACACGGAGGTAGACTACTGCAGCATATCCTTTCTCCGAAGCATCGCTGAAACCATGAAGTTCTGCAAGCTTATGAGTTGAGGTAAAGATGTAACGTGGGATCCTTAGGTTTTGGATCACGGGTAGTTCTTCTAAAAAGGAAATCCATTTTGTTCTTATCTCATCTTGAATTGGATCATCCCATTTTAGACCTGTGGTCCAAAGATATTGAATGAGTGTTTTAGCCCAAAATATTACAGGTGTGAGAAATCCTGGGAGATCATAGAGTTTAGCGATTGTTGAGAGAATCATTCTCTTGGTTAGCAAGTGGCCTACTTCAACATTCTTTACTTTGTATGAGAGCATGTCTGTCTCTGGGGTCCATCTTAAACCCAATACACTGTAGAAGGCCTCACTACCATCAGTCAACTCCACTGGTGATTCTTTGTGTTCGACTGGAA